GGTTGAAACTCTTTCCACTTTTTCAGTTCGGCATCGTACTTTGATTTGGCCTCATCCCAAGCCGTACAGTCATTTTGTTTTTCCCATTTATCCAGCGCTTTCACGGCCGCATTCAGGGCTTTGCAAAGGGCTTCACCATTGGATTCAGTGTTTATACGATCGTGAAATTCATCTTTTCTTCTGCCAAGCTCATCGGCTACTGCAACACAGCCTTTGGCATTGAGTTGGTTGTACAGCATAGAAGCTTTATCGTTTAACTTGGCCCACGTCGTCCAATATGGAGACAAAGAATACCACACAAACACCTTCGTACTGGTTAGCTCTCTGCGTTCCACAGCGATCTGTACTTCCTTAGAGTCAGCACCATGCTCGTGGATCATTAAATTTACTGCAGCCTCATACATTTTATGCTCAGCCGAATATTCTTGTTCACTATTTTCTACCCACTCAATACGTGCTTTCCACCCGTCAGCCCAAGCAAGATAAGATTCCCTGGTGCCCCATGGTTTTTCATTCGCTAGCCCCTCTTTCTCATCCTTTTCGACCCTGGAAGCTACAGTGGCCTCCTTGGCAGCCTCCCAGCGCTTAACGGCATCACTATATTTGGCCTCCAATTCAGATTCCGTGTTCATGGTTGAATTTTATAATAATGTAAATATCTACATGTGTTAAAGAGTGAGTCAAAAAGTTTTGGAACAGTCAACAATGTGGATTATAAGTGATCCAGTTACAGCAGTTATGAAGAAAAACACAAACAAACAAGACTAGTAGAGTCAACACATCATCATTCTTTCAACAAAACACAAAAGAAAAAAAAACACCAATGCTTTCTTTTTATTATAATGATTAATAGCATTACTATTATCATCATCACCCTTGGCACCACTCATATGGTTATGGTCACTGTTACTCCCATCATGTACAGATGGAGATGCTACAGGTGGTGTTGGCGTTGAGGCACGTCCCTCCAATCCCACGTACACAGTTCGCACCGGACGTGTACTCGCATCCTTCTTCCATTAGCGAAATAGTTCCTCTTCTCCACAAACACCGGCCAGCCGCACAGCGAACACCTTCAACTTCTGCCGTGTGCCATCAAGAAAGATGGCCTCCAGCGAGTTTGTGGCACTATCCACACGGCCCACTTCAAACAACTCCCGCAGCATATCACAAGAGAGACGCTTACCGTACAGCTTCTCCTCCTCGGTGAGATCCATCTCCCTCACAAACTGCATGCCAGCAGTACTAGAAGAACCGGAAGAAGAAGCAGCAACAATATCAACAGGAGAAACAGAATAAACAGTCAAATGATGAGTCATTGTTTGTGGAGGACACCCAACACACATAATATCACCTGGCCGCGCATTATGGGCACTGTTCAAGATGGTCTCTGCAGAAGTTGCCATGAAACCACCAACAGAGAGGAGTGTCATCCTCCACTGCACGCAACTTATGTGGCTCCACAACAGTAGATATTGGAATAGAAGAAGAAGAAGATGACTGGTATTTATACATATCTTACAATAACTTCAGACACAGACAACCACCAACACCAGCAGCAGTGGGATTAGTTAACATGGGTCTGTCATCCTTGTTATTAGTAGTGTCACTCTTCTTGTTGTTGTCTTCCTTGTCACTTGAGTTCACAGGTCTAATGTACGGAGTGTTAAAAAGTAAAAGAATAAGGAAGAGAGAGAAAGAGACACACATAGAAAATGGATGCAGAAATAGTAACAGTGGAAAAGAGAGAGAGAGAATCGGCAACTGCACAGTAAAGCAACAAAATGGAATAGACCGCTTGTAATGATAATATGTACGCATTAATAGAAAAACAAAAGCATACACACAATACCCAAATAAGAGGGAGCCAAACACACACAATACCCATGGCTCTAGTTTAAGTATTAAATTACTGCACACACACATCTGTGTGTACTAGCAAGAGATGTATACCGTCAGTGAGCAGAACAGCCCAGTTTTCTGCAAACACACACAACGGAAAAAGTAAGTAATGGAATTAATAGAAAAAGAACACACACACACAAAAGTAAAAGCAAAAGATATTCCAATTAAAAGATAAAGCTGGTAAACAGATTATTAGTTTATTCACCCATGGGGGATGTATGCAATTATGATTATGTTAGTTTAATCATTATTATTATGTGTCCTCAAATGAGTCCCACCGTTCAGTACACGGTAACAGTGAACAACACAACCATAATCAGCAGCGGTGCTGCAGTGCGCATCCACACAGAACTGACACTGCTGTCAACATTAGCCTTGTTCTGTACTGTGGAAGTGATGCTGTTGTTAATCTCTGCGTTGGTTACAGGGGGAAGTGTTGTTGTTGTTGTGTTGGTGGTTGTAGTGGTTGTATTTGCATTTTCTGCATCATTTGGGTTACTTGTTGGTCCAGTCTCTGCAGCTCCAGACTCACCTGCATTCTGTGAGGGTGAAGTGTTGGAAGAATTCTCAGGTGAACTCTGAGATGCATTACCAGATGTCTCTTTCCCTTCATTATCACTTGATCCTGTTAAGTTTGTGTTCTCTCCATTTGTGGGTTGATGTGTATCCGGATGTGATTCCCTCCCGGTGTCTGTTCCAGCGTCTACCGGTTTGTTTTCTTTCAACTGTTGATTCTCTTGTTTTTCCACTGTGGTAGAGCTGACTTGATGTTCCTGGGTCTTACGTGGTTTGGTGATATTACACTTAGGAGTTCCATTAGGAAGAAGAATACGCTCCGAAGGAGGAAAACAAACGACTAACTTATCGTTGACATCCAGAGTATGTTTTATTGGTTGAGCCCATACCAACTCGCAAGTACAACACAGTGTAAACGTTAGTAAACAAAGCAGGTAACACCTCACCATTACAGCCTTTGCCATTGTACTTGACTCCAATAGAGTAATAAAATAAAGAAATCAAGAGAGAAATGAATAAATAGTGCACAAAACAAACGTACAAATAACAACACCAGAAAAACGTACAATAAAATTATACAAGTCACAACAATCAAAAAGAAACGAAAGAGAAGAATAAAACAACACCGACTGTAATTCACGGGATCCAAAAAAAAAAAAGCAAAACAAATTAAAAACACGAACAACTGCCACAACACATAAAGAAACACAATATTACCGCTTTCCACGTTCATGTATAAGAAATTACAAATATAAATATGTATCCGTTATTATTATTTCCCTTTTTCTCACACTGCATAAAACAGTTCATCATCATCACAGTGCAAGCACACAGAGAAAGAGTCTCCAAGAACACACAATGGAGTAGCAATAATAATGATTGTAGTATAATCAAAGAGTAAAAACACACAATATCATTAATAAACAAAAAAAGAAGAAAGTTTCCACAGGTGGAAGATTAGTTAGACTGTAGGGATACATGCAAAAAAGAAAAGAGAAAACAAAGGATGACCTGAGTCACACCACCACCACACCACTATTACAATCAGCACACAAGAATACAGGCCAGTGTAACCACAATCAATAGAGACACACGCATCCACACAGAACTGCTGATACTGCTGCTCTCTGTATTACCTTTTTGTGTACTTGTTGTCCCACTCTCTGCAGATGCAGTACCGCCACTCCCATTACCCCCAGCAGCAGGACGTTGAGCAGCACAAACAGTATTAGGATCACGAGGAGTATCACGAACAATACCAGCATCAGATTCAGGAGGAGGAGGACATTCATCAGCAGAGTTAGAAGATGCAGAAGAAGAAGTCCCGGAGTTTCCAGCTGCACCTGTCGCCACGCAAACTGAGGCAACACTCATAATTAGAGCCAGAAAATACAATACACGTCGCAACTGCATCTTGAGAAAGAAATATTCTTTTTGTTCTCGTGGGTAGTTAACCTGGACGAAGGAAAAAAAGAAATCGTATGGAAAAACAACGAAAAAGAAAACACAAACAGGGGGAAAAAGGGAATAGAAAAACAAACAGAAATCATAAGAAACTCAAACAAATCAACATAAATAATAAGGAAAAAACATAGTGGCAACTTGGACAATTAAAAAGCAAAACAAAAAAAAAGTAAATTAAAAGCAAGACCAACTTACCCAGTAAACACACAAATCATAATGAATTACAACCAATATTACATAAATATGCAACTATGAATACAAATGCTTCATTTATTGAATATATCAATTCAAAGAACATATCACAAAAACGGTCCAAGGCAAAATACAGTATATCACAGCAACCCAAAAGCAAAGAAAAAGAGTTATTAACCATTAGCCCAACTTACCCAGTAAACACAGAAATACACCAACTATGGGTGTAAGTCTATATGTGTGTATATACGCAATTATAAATATAAATTCATCTGTTATTATTATTTCTTTTTCTTCCACAGCAAAAAACAGTTCATCATCATCATTATTATAGTGCAAGCCCAGGCACACATAGAGTCTCCAAGAACACACACACAATACTCCACGGCTCTAGTTTATATATTAAATTACTGCGCACATACGCATGTGTACTTAGAATAAAAGTATACCGTCAGTGAGCAGAACAGCCCAGTTTTCTGCAAACACACACAACGAGAAAGCAAGTAATGGAATTATTAGAAAAAGAACACACACACATAAAAGTAAAAAGAAAAGATATTCCAATTAAAAGAGAAATATGGTAAACAGATTATTAGTTTATTCACCCATGGGGGATATACGCAATTATGATTATGTTAGTTTAATCATTATTATTATTTGACCTCAGATGAGACCCACCGTTCAGTACACAGTAACGGAGAACAACACAACCATAATCAGCAGCGGTGCTGCAGTGCGCATCCACACAGGACTGACACTGCTGTCAACATTAGCCTTGTTCTGCATATTAGAGGCAATAGAGGTGATCTCTGCGTTGGGTACAGTAGATGGAGTGGTGGTTGGTGCGTCACTGACAGTGTTTGCGGTGCTCGGCAGAGTAGTGGAAGTGGTTTCTTCTGATTCCGTTGCGGCAGTAGACTCTTGAGTTTGGCTTTCTGTTGTAGTCCCACCTGCAGAGGAATGTGCCGCATGTGATGCAGCCTCACCATGATTACCGTTCGTCGCCTCCGCCTCGTGCGAATCGTTACCCTGATTCCCATCTTCGGGTCCGGGGGATGGACGATCTTGGGCACTTAGTGCAGGTGTCGAGGCCAATGGTGGCTTTTCCAGATCCTTACAAGTAAAGTTATCAAACACAGCTGATTTGTTCGTCTCACACAACTTTTGCAACATTTTTTTCTTCTCATCTTTTGTAGCATAAGGAATACCACCCCAGCCAACAACATCATGAAACTTCTCCTTTGGCTGTCCAGCATTAACAGTAGTAGTATGAGCAGCAGCCGTCATGGTATACCCGCAGGCGCAGCACAGCACAACGGCCAACACACACATCACACGACGCATCATCATCATCATGACGGTCAAATAGCTTGTTACTGTTGTTGTTCTCGTCAGTTGAGTTCACAGGTCTATTCGATGGAGTGTGGAAAAGAAAGAAAAAAGAATGAAGAGAAAACACATAAGCACCAGTACACCACTATTACTCCACACACAACATCCATTACACACACATACACATATGGAGTCAAGCATGAATATAACGGAGGTGGATACATTAGGGGAAAATACCCATTATTCAAACAAAATAAAGTCCCATTCCAATCCCAAATAAAAAAGAAAAGATTATATACGAATTGAATATCATTTGGTAACATAGCAGATATAGCCACACACACACAGAGAAAAACAATAATAACGGATAATGCATAAATCTCTCTGTGTTGGTTTCTCCCTGTACCCATTATAATTAGTATCCCCATAGAAACAAGTAAATTATATGTTATCACGCTCAGAAATAATGTGAAAGCAAATAAAAAAAAGAAAAGAGATATCATTTACCAGAACCACACAATTGCAGAGTGAGACACACCACAAGGTGCACAGCAATGCTCTGCTTACAAGTATAAAAAAAGAAAAGAGATTAAGAGTATTCCCACACAAATTGATGCACCTCATTCCAGTGGGTGTCATCGGGATTAATTTTCTCGGTGCCCCATATACAAAAACACAGTAGCAAATATATTATTATTATTAGCAGTAAACAAGTGATTACCAACACTCTCTGGAAGGGACCCCACCACAGTGCTCAGCAGACGGCCATGCAGCCCAGTACAGAGAGCAGCAGCAGCAGGAGTGGAACACGCAGTAACGCAGGACTGCCGCTGCTGCCGTCATTTAATGCCATACCACTGTTATTCGCTGCACCATTGAGTA